CAACAACAACAAACTTATTCAGTACTAACTGTGTGCTCGGCACTGTTCTAAGTGCCGAGGATAAAACAAGGTACGTGTTCACATGAGCTCATCTCTCCATAGAACTGGTTCATCTGTAGGTCTGATTCCATATCCTGACATAGCTGGAGTGAAATACCAAAATGAAGGAAAGAAATAGAGGGTACATAAAGACATGTCTTCTGGAAGATCTTAACAATACAGAGACAAAGCCATAGAGAAAGAGCAGAGTGAAAAAGAGAGGGCAAGACAGGTAGGGGAGACCAGGAGGATGTTATGGATTGGACTGTGCCCCTCAAAATATGTCTATCCAAGCACTGTATCTGTAAATATGAGCTTCTGTTATGTTAATGAGGTCGTAACAGAGTACGGTGGCATGGTGGTCATAAACCTAATCACTTCTACACAGTATTTATAAAAAGCAGAACGGACACAGAGACACCCTCACGAGGGGAGGCCAGATAGCATGTGAGGATTGTCCATAAAAAAAGGAATAGCAAAGAATGCCATTGGTCACCAGAAACTAGCAGAGAGGCCCACAGCAGCTTTCAACATGGCCGAGATCCTGATTTGGACTTTGAGGCTTCTGAACTGTAAGAAATTAAATTTCTGTTATTTAAAGCACTTACTTGCGGTATCTTTTGTTACATCAGCTGTAGGTAACTAAGGCTACCGCCAGTATCTGTTACCATGGAGTCGATTCCTTCTCACGGTTACTCCGTGTGTCAGAGTAGAACTGTGCTCCATGGGGTTTTCAGTGGCTGATTTTCAGGAGAAGACTGTCAGACCTTTCTTCTAAGGTACCTCTGGGTAGATTCGAACCTCCACCCTTTTGGTTAGCAGCAGATTGCCTTAACAGTTTGCACTAGTCATGGAGTCTAAGACTGGGAGAGAGCTATCAAGGGCATTATCTATTACTTAAGAGGTATCTCTGCTTCTTTGGGACAGAGTAGGTATGAGCCCTCTCCATATCACATGCAACCTACATAGTGCCGTGAGAGTGCAGTATTGTCAGACTAGATCATATGTCTGTCTACATTACTCACTCACTGTGGGAGCCTGGGCAACTACCAGAATGTCTTCAAGACTTAGGTTCCTCATGGGTAAAATGAGGATAACAACACCCAACTCAGAGATGTTTTACTGAATAATAATAGTTAACAGACGTTGCTTACTAGCATTGCACTGTTCTGACTGCATTAACTCTCTTAGTCCTGATAAAAGTGTTACGTTGTTGTTGTTGTTAGGCGCACTTAAGTCGGTTCTCATTCATAGGACCCTGTGAACAGCAGGACGAAACTGCCCAATCCTGCACCATCCTCATAGACCTTGTCAGGCTTGAGCCCACTGTGCAGCCACTGTGTCCATCCATCCCGTTGAGGGTCTTCCTCTTTTTTGCTGATCCTCTACTTTACCAAGCATCATGTTCTTCTCAGGGACTAGTCCCTCCTGATAATATGTCCAAAGGAGCATTATGGCTGTACTTCTTCCAAGACAGATTTGTTCATTCTTCTGACAGTCCATATTCTTCGCCAATACCATAATCCAAAGGCATCATCAATCCTTCTTCAGCCTTCCTTATTCATAGTCCCATTTTGGCATGCATATGAGGTGACTAGAAATATCATGGCTTGAGTCAGGAGCACCTTAGTCTTCAAAGTGACTTCTTTGCTCTTTAACACCTTAAAGAGGTCTTTTGTAGCAGATGTGCCCAATGCAGTATGTTGTCTGATTTCTTGACTGCTGCTTTCATGGGCATTGATTATGGATCCAAGTAAAATGAAATGCATGACAACTTCAATCTTTTCTCCATTTATCATGATGTTGCTTATTGGTCCAGTTGTGAGAATTTCTGTTTTCTTTATGTTGAGGTGTAAACCATACTGATGGTTGTAGTCTTTGATCCTCATTAGGGCTTCAAGTCCTCTTCACTTTCAGCAACCAAGATTGTGTCATCTGAGTATTGCCAGATATTCATATGTGTGGTGGTTCTGTGGTTAAAGCATTGGGCTGCTAACCAACAGCATGGTGGTTCAAACCCATCAGCTGCTCTACAAGAGAAAGATGTGGCAGCCTGCTTCCATAAAGATTCATAGCTGTGGAAACCCTATGGCACAGTTCTACTGTCCTATAGGGTTAATATGAGTTGGAATCAACTCCATGGCAGTGTGGTAAGGAGTCTTCCTCTAATCCTGATGTTGAGTTCTTCTTCACACAGAACAATTCCTCAGAATAAAAATCCTATGAGCTAGGTATTTGTATTGCCCCATTTTATATATGAGGAAAGTTGTTGTTGTTAAGTGCTGTCGAGTCGTCTCTGACTCATAGCGACCCTACACACACCAGAACGAAACACCTCCCAGTCTCACACCAGCCCCACGATCCCTGCTGTACTTGAGCCCATTGCTTCAGCCACTGTCCATGCATCTCATTGAGGGCCTTCCCCTCTTTCACTGACCCTCCACCCTACCAAGCATGACATCCTTCTCCAGGGAATGGTCCCTTCTGACAACATGACCAAAGTACGTGAGGTGAAGTCTGGCCATTCTTGCTTCCAAGGAACATTCCAGCTGCACTTCCTCCAGGACAGATCTGTTAGTTCTTCGAGCATCCATGGTACTTTCAGCATTCTTTGCCAGCACCAGAACTCAAAAGCATCAATTTTTCTTGGGTCTTCCTTATTCATTCTCACATGCATATGAGGAGATTGAAAATAACATGGCTTGTGTCAGGAGCATCTTATTCCTCAAGGAGACATCTTGGCTCTTCAGCACTTGAAAGAGGTCCTTTGCAGCCAATTTGCCCAGTACTCTACGTCGTCTGATGTCCTAAAGGCTGCTTCCATTGGCATCGATTGTGGAACCAAGCAATGTGAACTCTTCGAGAACTTAAATTTTTTCTCCATTTATTGTGATGCTGCTTATAGGTCCAGTCGTGAGAATTTTTGTTTTCTTTACATTGAGGTGTAATCCTTTCTGCAGACTGTATTCTTCAATCTTCATCAGTATGAGGAAAGGGAGGCACAGAAATCATGTAGTTTGCTCAAGGTCATACAACTAGTATTCCTGGCAAAACCACGAATATCACTCCACCTTGAGTCTTTCCTTTTAACCACTGCTCACAGTGCCCAAATGGCACCTAGTTAAGACTTGAAATAAACTGCACACTCTGCAGGCAAACTTCTACTCCACTATGGTGTTGAGTGTTTGTTGAACTCCCATGCCCTCAGGGAACTGTGACAGAGAATAGAGATACAAGGGGGAGAAACATACCAAGTTCTTATCTTCCTGTTTGTTGTCGTTGTTGTTATGCACTGAGTCAGAACGACTCATAGCCTCATTGTGATCCCTACTTGGGTTTCTGAGGCAGTATCACTATGGAAGTAGATTGCCCAACCTTCCTTCCAGGGAGTGGCTGGTGAGTTTGAACCACCAGCCTTCTGGTTAGCAGTCAAGGGCCTTAGGCACTAGCTACCACAGCTCCCTTAGCCTCCTGTAGTGTATCCTCATCAATCAAATAATGTAACCCTTCTCAGGGAGCTCTGGTAGCATAGTGGCTAAGACACTTGCCTGCTAACCCGACGCCTGGCGGTTCAAACCCACCAGCCACTCCTCGGAAGGAAGGTTGGGCAATCTACTTCCGTAGTGATACTGCCTCGGAAACCCAAGGAAGGGTCGCTATGAGTTGGGTTTGACTCCACGACACATAACAACAACAACAATCTCAAGTTCTCAGCCTTCCCTGTTTTCTCCATTTCTCGGTCCACTGAACCACTGATCAGCTAACCCACCCAGCGTTGGTCAGGGTGAGCAGAGCCCATAACCAGGTCTCTTTGGGCCTTCTGAAGGGCTGAGGGCTGGTTTCATCTAACTATGGGGAAAAGGCAGACAGATTGAACCTTGTCTCTGCAATGACTTAAAAAGTCTCTTTTCCTTAGTCTAAGAAGCTCTGGTAGTGCAGTGGTTAAGGCATTTGGCTGCTGAAGAAAGTTAGTGATAGCAGCCACTTGAGCAGAACAAAGATAGTCTGCTCCCATAAAGATTTACAGCGTTGGAAACCCTGTGGGGGTCGCTGTCATTCGGAATGCACACCAAGGCACTGTTTTTTTTTTTTTTTTTTTGTAGCCTAGACTTTAATTGAACCAAGGTGCTTCCCAGCAGTAACTTCATGATTACTCCCCACGGTCCTCCCCGAAAGCCTGTTTGACCTACTGCTGACCCTGCGTTCCTGAGCTGGAGGTTCCCCCTACTAGATCTCCAGGAGACTCTTTTGTTTTCTTTCCTCGGAGAGTCTCTTAACACACCCAGAGGCGCTGCCCTCCCTCCCGGAGCTGTTGTGTGATCTCATTCCTGTCCCTGAGACTCAGGTGCGCGGCCTGGGGCGGGGGTGCTGCCGCCCAGGACCGCCAATGGCCGGTCTTGTCACGCGTCACCGTTTTCCGTGTGGGTACAAGTTCTTGGCTCGGCCTCTCTGTCGCCCCAGTCCTGGTCACCCCGCTCGCTGGGCGGGAGCGAAGCCCGGGCCTTTGACTAGAAGGCTGGGAGGCCCAGAGATCCGGACGCCAGTAAATCTCAAGGGCCAAACCTCGGCTGGGGAAAGCCCGGCCGCACACAGCATTGTTACCACTGAAACAGGCCTCTTGGTCGGGCGGAGGTCTCGGCCCACGACCGCGGCCATTGTGCTTGGCTCTCTCAGCCTCTAGGCCTGGTGGGCATGTCCACAACGAGGAGCATTGACAGCGCTCCTACCTAAAACACCGCTCCCTCCAGCCCCCTATCCCCTCGGATAATGTGTTTTTATGCTGGGAAATAAACGGGGGAGATTTGGTTTCTTTTTGTGGTACACAGGGAGGAAAGGCATTACTAACTGAGGCGGGAGGTGGAAGACCAGCGCCGCCACCGCGCGCCCGGTCACGTGGGCCGCGAGACCGCATGGCGGCGGCTCGCGCGTCTCCGCGTCTCGGCCGGCCAGGCGGCCCGGGCGCGCGCGCCGACGGGGCGGGCGCATGCGCAGGGGGGCGCGCCGCATCTGCCCCGCGGCGAGGGTGTCTATGGAGAGGCGGAGGCCGCGGCTGCTGAGGCGGAGGTTGAGGCCGCGGCGATGGCGCCCTTCCCCGAAGAAGTGGACGTCTTCACCGCCCCGCACTGGCGGATGAAGCAGCTGGTGGGGCGCTACTGCGACAAGGTAACGGTGTGAGAAGGCCTCTTGCTCCGGGAGGTGCAGGAGGAGCGGAGGAGCGGGCCAGTCCCTCGGGCGGCGAGGCCTGCGCGGCGCCCGCAGCCCCCGGGGCTACCGCCACGGCTGCGCTAACCGCCGCTTGCGCAGCTGTCAGCGCCGCGCTCGCGCCCCGCATGGGACCCGGCCGTCCGCCGCCGGCCCTCGAGGAGCCGCGCCCCCGCTAGGTTGCGGCCTCGGACGTGCTCTCCGGGCTCGCGGCGCCCGTACCTGCCGCGTCTTCCTGCGCGCGGGCCCGGCCACCGCGCCCTGCCCCCTATCGCACTTGCCCCCTGGAGAGCATGACCCCCTTGCCTCCGCTCGAGATCGGCCACTTGGGGTGGGTGCCCCATTCTCCGTCGGCCGTGTCTGCGGTTGCCGCCCGCCATCCCCATCGTTACCCCACCCCCCAGCCCGGTCTGGGGCTCCTCGAGTTTCTGCAGACACCTATCCATCCTCCTCCCGAACCTCGAGCCTGCTTCCTGGCTCTGTGGACAGCTTCTCCCCACTGCCTTGTGCTCCTCTTATCCCCAGCTTTTTCTCTGGTTTGATTTGGAAGAAAACCCAGGTTTCTTGGCTTAATAGTAGAGAACCTTTTCAGTTTTTCTTTACAGTTCAGTTTTTGCTTGGATGTTTTCTTGCCCCGAGCACTAAACGTAGCTTTTTGTCAGAAGACACCTCTTTTCAGTTGGAATCCTTCATGAGGTCGAATAAAAGGAGCTGAGGGAAAAGTTCCTTGAACTTTGAGGATCTTTTTGGAGTCGTGATTTGTGCAGCATAAGCTGAAGAAGTACTGTTACGGAGAGAGTTGACGGTTTTCTGCTAATAATTGGAAAACGGTATTAAGATGCCACACCTTTGTCAATTTTTGTTAGGGACAGAACATGTAAGAATTTTCTGGAAGCTTTGAGCTGCCCTGTTCGTGTGGAAATGAGCCCCTAAAAAGCATTTAAAGTAGTGTTACGTAAGCATAGTAATAAACTGATTTTTCAGAAATTATATACTATCAAGCCGGAACCACTACTGGGAGGAAAAAAAGAAAAGGTATCTTACAGCCCAGCGAGGTGAGCTAGTTGGAGGGTTCCCTGTGTTCGGTACTAGGTCACACTTAAACAGCAGCAATTTGAAACGGTGAGACTGAGTTTCAGATCTCAGCACCCATCCCACAACCACCCCGACCCTCACTACTCCATTTTGAAAATTAAAAAATACCTGATTCAGGTATAAGGTTGAACCCTACAGCTATCTTGGACGGTGGTTCTCCACCAACCTTGGTTGCTCATTAAAGTCATCCAGGAAGTGGTTGACATCCTGATGCCCAAGACCACTAAAATTAGGAGATCTGAGGATGGGGCCCAAACATGAATTATTTTTACAATTCTCCAGGTGAGTCCAATGTGCAGCCCAGGTTGATAAGCAGTTGTTCAGGAGAAGCTTAAGGAATCGGTATGTTAAGCAGAAGTATGCAATCAGAATTTTTAGATTATCTGTACTGTAGTATTTTTATACCCTCTGGCCTTTGGATTTAGTTTGTTCTAACCAAAAAAACCAAACTCACTGCTGAGGAGTAGATCTCAATTCATAGTGACCCCTCCTTGGGTTTCTAAGGCAGTATCAGTATAGAAGCAGATTGCCCAGGCTTCCTTCCGAATAGTGGCTGGTGGGTTTGAACCGCCAGCATTCTGGTGAGTAGTCAGATGCCTTAGGCACTGTGTCACCACAGTGCACTTTAATTGCAGAAATGAAAAAATGGGGAGGTTTTTCACTTTCTCAAAACCAGAAAGTAAGGGAAAATTAGTGAGGACTAATGGAATCCGAAGGAGCCGTGGTAGCGTAGTGCCTAAGGCACTTGACTGCTAACCAGAAGGCTGGCGGTTCAAACCCACCAGCCACTCCTCGGAAGGAAGGTTGGGCAATCTACTTCCATAGTGATACTGCCTTGGAAACCCAAGGAGGGGTCGCTATGAGTCGGGTCCGACTCGATGGCAGGTAACAACAACAACAAAAAAATGGAATCCGAGGTCCTGTTCAGACCAGGGAGAAGTTGTCCAGCGACCACCTGACATTGTGTGGAACATTTTTGTCCATGTGCTCATTTTCCTTGGGAGTTTGTGGCTTTCATCAGATTTGCAAATGATTGTGATGCTCCCCAAACAGTTACGAATCGTAAGGTTATTTAGTTAAGTGCTAGACCAATCAACCAAATACTAAAATTTGGAGAAACGTATCTCTAGTTTTAATATTTCATGGTGAGTGACTGCATTTGAACAAATTTTGAAAATGCAATTGCCTTTAAAAAGCAAAAACAAAAACATCTGAGTGAAATAAAATTCAATAGGTAAATGCTCTTCTTTGCAGTGACTACTTCAAGAAAGCATTTCCAGTTTGGCATAGGATAAGTCAGAGTTATCACAAATTCTGAGTTAATTAGATAGAGTTAATGAGATTGTTGTATACATTCATCAAGAAGATTAAAAGTTCAGTTTTCTGAACTGTGGGTCAAAGACCAAGGTAATTAAAACAAAACCACATAGGAATTTAACCTTTGATTTCCTCTTGATAGCAATAGTCAGTGGAAATCTCTTCTAGGATGTCCTTTGGGAGTAAGGGTAGAAAAGTAAGTATTTTATGATGGCTGAATATTTTGAAAGGAATGAAAGGAAGACCTTGCCTGCTTATTTATTTATTTTTGTTTGTTTGTTTTTATTCAGTTATGATCTCAAGTTTTGCTGCCACCATCATTTAGGCCAGGGACACCAACCCAAACAGTATACAGTAAAACATTACAAATCTAGAGCTAATTTTTGCATACAAACTAACCAAAAACCAAACTCACTGCCATTGAGTCAGTTCCAACTCATAGAGACCCCCGTTGGGGGTTTCTAGGGTTGTAAATTTTTACAAAATCAGATTGCCTCATCTTTTGCTCATGGAACAGCTGGTGGGTTTGAACCACTGACCTTTTACTTAGCAGCCTAAATGACTTAACCACTATACCACCACAGCTCCTTATACTCAAACTAAGAAGGTAGCAAAGTTTATTATTTCACCATCTTCTAAATTTTAACCTTGAATGCCCAGTATTTACAAAGTCAGTTTTACTTTCAGTATCCACCTTTTCAAACACAATATAGTTTAAAAGCATCCATTTATTTGCAAGCATCAAATCATTTAGTTTACTTCCAAAAAAAAAATAACACCCCAAACTTACTGCTATCGAATTGATTCCAACTCATAGTGACCTCCTTTGGGTTTCCGAGGCAGTAAATCTGTACGTAAGTAGATTGCCCAGTCTCCTTCCACAGAGTAGCTGTGGGTTTGAACCACCTACCTTCTGGTTAGCAGCCAAATGCCTTGGACACTAGGCTACAAAACAAAACAACACAAAAAAACACCCAAACCAAACTCACTTCGGTCCAGTCAATTCCGACTCCTAGAGACCCCTCCTTGGGTTTCTGAGATGGGATCTTTATAGAAGTAGATTGCTCACTCTTCCTTTTGAGGAATGGCTGGTGGCTTTGAGCTACCAGGCTTCTGCTTATCAGTCAAATGCCTTATGCACTAGCCACTAGAGTGCCTTAAATAGTCTACTTAGAACAATTCATTTTGTCCTAGGCCATTTTAAATATTGCTGTGTAATACCTAATTTAATACTGTGCTTCATATAAGAGAAAATCTTATATTTATGAAAGGTTTAATGGAAAGGTTTTAAGCTTTGTTATCTAGGCAACAGTATTTGAGGTAGGTAAGGGCAGAGAATATTCTGTTTTATAACTGGGAACTCATAGGTCTAGATGACCTTACTTAGGCCAAGGCTATCTAAGCAGTTAGATTTAAGATAGGAATCCAAGTCAGGATCATGACTCCTAGTTTAATTTACTTTGTATGAAACCATACTAAGTTTTGGAAGAGTACTTTTTGGTAACAATCTGGCTGGATCTTCTTGCTTTTTCACTGACCTTCCAAATTGGGGTCATGTTATTGAAAATTTGTATTGGATGACATCATTCTTCCATTTTACTCAGGCTTTTTCCAGTCCTCAAAAGTTATCTCTATTACTTTGGTCAATAAGCATGGAATTCCTACTGTCTCCCAGCCCTGTAGTAGCTGGTATTGTCAATGTGGAGATGGGCTCCCCACTTACAAGGAGCTGAGAGTCTAACAGGGAAAGCTGAGTGGGGCATGTTGTCAGCTGCTATTGAGTTGGCTCTGACCCATGACCACCCCATACACAGTTACATGAAATGCTGGCCAATCCTGCATCATCCTTATGATCAGCTGTGGTTTGAACTGCTTTGATCCATAGGGTGGGTGTTCATTGGCCGATTTTCAGAAGTAGATCTCCAGGCTTTGCTTCTTAGTCTATCTTAGTTTAGAATTTCTCCTGCATCCTGTTGAGCATCTTAAGCAGTGGCTGATGGTGGCTGCACTTGTTGATTGACTGGGAATCAAACCAGGTCTCTAGTACAGAAGGCAAGAATTCTACTGTTGAACTGCTACACCCCTGAATGGGGTATAGTGGAAACAAATGAGGCATATTATCAGCAATGTAAGGAGTTCTGGTGGCATGGTGCCTAAGGCATTTGACTGCTAACCAGATGGCTGGCAGTTCAAACCTACCAGCCACTCTTTGGAAGGAAGATTGGGCAATCTACTTCCATAGAGATATCGCAAGGAGGAGTCACTGTGAGTTGGGATTGACTAGACGGCAGTGAGTGTCAGTAGTGTATTAAAGAGTCAGGAATGGTCTTACAGTGGTTTTGAATTGATTTCTGAGAACAAAGTAAGTGGTGCTTGTAAGGATTCTGAGTGTACATGAGCCAGTTATAATAATAATAATAAAAAAAACTGAGGTGTAGAGGCCTCATAGAGTGCTCAGGTTTTTATTTTGTTAGGTCAGGATGTTGAAACTTTCATCTACTTTATTTATTTATTTTTAATAAAAGAAAGTGCATTTTCTGGCCAAAAGT